TAGGCCTAAATCTACAGAACTGTATGCTAGATTTGGTCGTATTACTTGACATGTACGTATACTGTGCTGTTATTATATGACATGTGTAGTAACGTCACTAATTGTTCATCACGTACACAGAGTATTTTCAATGTCCACAAACACATTTCTATTTTTTATTATTATTTACTGTCGTGCAGTTCAGATTATATCTGTTTCTATTTTATTCAAATTTAGCTTGAATTATTTTAGTTCATTTATACTTCTTTTGAAATATTTAGTTTATTTGTGGTTAAGTTCATTTGAAAGCCTGGAAAACAATAAATCGAATCAACTCAAACTGAATTTAAAGTAGAACTATGTCCATTCGATAAACGGATCATATGGCTTTTCCGCATTTGATTTGTTTTTGATGAGTTAATTTTTATTTAGTCCATATGCAGTTATGTGAATGATTTTTTCAACGTACGAACAAGATTCCATGAAAATCTTATTCTAAAAAAAAATTGATTTGAAATTATATTTGCAAACAAAGCCAAGAATGTTAAAAAATGCTGAAAATTTAAAAAAAAATTCAAAATCCGGGTAAAATCACGAAGTCACGTAAATATGTATCTACAACACATTCCCTCCCAATTTACGTACTAAGATTCAACCCAATCAGACTTAAAATTCTGCGCAGATAAACGACAAGTATTTGATCTTTGTGAAGAGAATCACACCGGAGAAAAGCACTGTGGTCACTCGGCAACCATTTATTCGCTTGAAACAGTCCAACAAGCATGGTTTAACAATCACCTGTACAATTTACCTGCTACCAGTTCTAATAAATGACAGGTCCATGTAACTACCAGCATGGCTAATAAATTCCCATAGTTACCACTTACATGCTAACAGTTATAACATTCCAATACTACGGCTATCCCTACACCTAGAAGCGCCATTGCTTCACCCAAGTCCCAAGGGACTATACGGCTATCCCTACACTAATTTAGAAGCGCAATCACTTCTCACAAGTCCCAATGGACTACGGATATCCGTCCAGTTAGAAGCGCAATCGCTTCTCCAAAAGTCCCAATGGACTACGGATATCCGTACATGCAGTTAGAAACGCAATCGCTTCTCACAAGTCCCAGGGGACTATAGATGTCCCTACATTTAGAAGCGCAGTCGCTTGTCGCAAAAATAAGCGCAATCGCTTCTCACACTTAGAAGCGCCATCGCTTTTCGCAAGCTGATAAACGCTGCGGATAAATCACTTATCCGCAGCACAAGAGCCCATGGAGGGAGATTGGTTGAGATCCATCATTCCAAGGATAATGGACGTGAGCCAGCACCCCCGGCGATAGTGGCTCGTCCGTTTGTGCTGACCCTTGGCCTACCACTCAAAATTTGACAAATGGACCATCTCACCTCTCTCTCCCTGGGCTCAAACCATCCGGCCCGCTACTCATACCGAACCGAACCCTTTCCCCGTCATCCAAAACCTACTGTACACGTTCCCATTGAATTCAAAAATATCATTTAAACTCGGTAAAAAATTCCTTTCAATACCTATCTGAGATTACAGAGGGTCCATTGTTTCAAAGCAACAACCCTGCATTAGGAGATCGGGGTGGGAGGAGGGTCATTGACTGTATCAAGCGAAAACCAAACCGAAACTGAGCGGTCTTTGTGCCAGTGCTCTGGCATTGCGCGCGCTCTGGCAACTTGAGCAATGAACTCCTCATGACCGCCTGACAACCGATGCAGACCAGACATCCACTAGCTGACTCCCAGCGCGCACTCAAGTTACTTCGCCCATCTCGACACTCAATGTGTGACCGCGGTGTGACCTTTCACAAAGGGGCCTGCGCTCGATGAGAGCGCAAGCCGTGTTGTGAAGAGAATCACACCGGAGAAAAGCACTGTGGTCACTCGGCAACCATTTATTCGCTTGAAACAGTCCAACAAGCATGGTTTAACAATCACCTGTACAATTTACCTGCTACCAGTTCTAATAAATGACAGGTCCATGTAACTACCAGCATGGCTAAATAAATTCCCATAGTTACCACTTACATGCTAACAGTTATAACATTCCAATACTACGGCTATCCCTACACCTAGAAGCGCCATTGCTTCACCCAAGTCCCAAGGGACTATACGGCTATCCCTACACTAATTTAGAAGCGCAATCACTTCTCACAAGTCCCAATGGACTACGGATATCCGTCCAGTTAGAAGCGCAATCGCTTCTCCAAAAGTCCCAATGGACTACGGATATCCGTACATGCAGTTAGAAACGCAATCGCTTCTCACAAGTCCCAGGGGACTATAGATGTCCCTACATTTAGAAGCGCAGTCGCTTGTCGCAAAAATAAGCGCAATCGCTTCTCACACTTAGAAGCGCCATCGCTTTTCGCAAGCTGATAAACGCTGCGGATAAATCACTTATCCGCAGCACAAGAGCCCATGGAGGGAGATTGGTTGAGATCCATCATTCCAAGGATAATGGACGTGAGCCAGCACCCCCGGCGATAGTGGCTCGTCCGTTTGTGCTGACCCTTGGCCTACCACTCAAAATTTGACAAATGGACCATCTCACCTCTCTCTCCCTGGGCTCAAACCATCCAAACCCCCATACCTCCATTTTTTTTATTTTTTTTATTTTTGTGGCCTGGTGAACCAGTTGTGGCCGACTGGTAATTTACTGGAGGCTATACGAAAACAAAGACATGTGATCAACTAAATACTGTTCTCAACTAAATCCTTGGATAAACCCAAAATCTAGGAAATTAATAATATACACATTACCCAATAATTTGGATCGTGCTGGTGTCTGATTTCGCACCACGGGTCCTTATATGTTACAGCCTACTGTGGATAATTATTAACACAAACTTTGCTTTATCTAATTTGCCAACTTGACAATGTCACGTGTCTGGGATTAATTAAACCTTCGCATCATTGAAAATCCACATCAGTTTTCCAGCCTTTTACTTCCCGCTCACGTAACTCTCGGGTAGCCAATCGAGATATAGTCGCCGGCTACGAGAACTCAAAACTCGTTGAGAAAAATGAGAACCTATTTTTGGCCCCAAGCTTGCTATCTCATGCCAACCTGAAGATTGGATTCCCATTTACCGACTGCATTACGAGGTTACTTTTCCTATGACCCTTTTTATGTCTAATTTAAATGGGTGTCCCCTCAGTGGCGCAAGCCAACGTGAAGTGCAGTTCACGCCAGAACCAGAACGCCTATACAATCGTAAATCCGGGAAAAAAACAACTATACTGATAAGTCATCGAAGGCGCTCAACCGCATGATATGTAATTATAGCCAGGAGTTGATCGGGTTGTGTTTTATGAAATTCCTTGTCCACTTCACCATTACGACATGAGCGGATACCGAATATTGTATAACAACCAATACCCCTAAGGCCTGAACGGCAACGTACCACTTGTTTTTAACCAACCTGGTTCAGCAATGCCTCCTGATTGACTTCGAATACAATTTTGTTATAATTTGGTTTGCCATCAAATCCTGAACGACTGTTCCGAATAATTCATTAATCAGTCAAATGATCGACAGCAAGTGTAACCGTAATACCTGCTCGATTGATGGCGTAACAAGCCTGGGTTTACCCAATAAGTCGGGATTGACTACAACTTGAACCTGGTTTACCACTAAGTCACGATCGACTGCAAATGCAATTATGTGTTACACCTCTTGTTAGTAATACCACTTCCGCATGATCAACTACCATGTTTTGTCGCCAATCGGCTGGTTTGCCAATTAATCACAATTCAGTAGCAAAATAAGTATAATCCCTTCAATAGTCATATGCCCTACTACACTACGAATTGTCTCTAACCAACCTGGTATCCATAAATGATCGACTACAAGCAGTAATGCAATCAACCTTGTGTGCGTTTACAACGTGAGTATGTGACTCCATTGAAGACAACACTTAATTAACCCGCACATATGACTTGTACAACATTTGCAAACATCGAAAAATAAAGCTACCAAGTTTTTACAAAATACCTTACTAGGATGTTGGTAAATGACAGTCTAAAGCATCCTGTTAAATTATGGCACCAGGTGTGAAATCATTTTCAAGAAAATTGTATTTTTGTATACATTTCCAACGGTGGTCGGCCGACCACCGTTGGAAAAACCTAACTAGTTTTCAACTACTGCTCCAAATTTACCTTTTTTTTCAGTCTAAATTGTGTTTGCTATTTGTTACATGTTCATTAACGGGTGCAGAGCATCTAGACTGGTTCCCTTACCTTACAATTTTCTGGCATCTATAAACTGATCCATTTTATCTTTAGTGGAGTCAGGGAACCAGACTACTTGAACATTTTTGTTTGTCTTGGTTTTTCCAGCATTTTCGAACACAAAATTTCAAACCTATCAGTGTAACAATAATTGATCTATTATACTAACCCCTCAAATAGTTCATTTCTGAAAATTACAGCAAAAGCCAATGATGTACATTCCCTGTACTGCAGGCACCCATTCACAAGTATGGTTCATATGATAACTCATGCGTTGACGTTAACTGCAATTTTACTTCAACTGGGGACAACCCCTAACCCCTAAGTCATGATCGGTTACGTGTTTCGGGAGCAACCCACAATACTGTTAATAACATGTGGCATATACTCGTATGATGCCGCTACTATATGCATTGACAATCTGGTGAATATCTGTGACTGTATGCCCTTAATGAACGTGTGCGGTAATAGTCTTAAGTATTTAGTTCCATATCGCCCCTATATACCTCTTAAGCTACTACATGTATCTCAGTCAACGAACTTCGACCGGGCGGCTCACCGCCATGCTTGGGCTTCATACACTATTGGATGCGACCACCATTCCTGCATTTACAATAATCGTAAGGCTTCAACATAATAGCCGGTTCAACCGCCCGTCCTGTGATGTGTAAGTGTGTGTGTGGGTGATCTTGCTTTAGCACACGTTAGCCTTGAAACAAATATAAGTTACTGGACACCCCGTTGTCCCTACATTCAACAACCATTCGATACTCCGTATAGAGTGTTACCAACCGCTGAATTACGGAATAACAATTGCCTGTTTTGGTTTGTTCAATGTCCCCTTCACTGTGCCCCAAATTTGCCGGTGCTGAAGGGTACCGGACGTGTTTGGGCTAAAACAGTTTATGTAATAGTCTGTCGCATGGGCTGCACAAGTCCGTAAGCCCCTTTAAGAGTTCGACTTGAGGAGGGTTTGTTGCGCGGCGTGCAACCAATCAAACCGTGATGAAAAATGTCCAACTCCTCCGTAGACATGTCCGGTTAAGCCCCGGGGCTTTTTGGCAGGGGCTGTCCGTCAATCGCCCGCGACATTCGAAAACCACCGTGTATGTGGCGATTGGGCAACGACACAATACTGTCCGCACAAAATATGTCCGACAATCTGACGGCAACGCTTTGCCTCGACTCCCCACAGCCTGGTCTGCAAGTTCTGTGTAAAGTGCTGGTGACACGCCCACCACTCCTTCCAAAGCAAGGAATCTGCAGACTGCACTAGTGGTTCCCAGGTCACCGATCCTGTGGCCGCCCCCGCCGACCTTAACTCATCGGGATGAGGCTGCCAGGCGCTTGCCATATCCTCGGGGTGCACCCTGTATATGGATCAAAAACAGAGCTTTTGTGAGGGACCTAGTAACCATTAGGGCAATTCACATCTTGTCACAGATTAACACTTAATAACCCATCGTTGACTATGACCCACAATATGGCCGGTTGCAGTGCCCTACTCACTTTAATACTCTGTTCCATTAATTTGCTTAGGCAGCACCTTGACTGACACGTGAGTGGCGCCAAAATGTGCACACGCTAATGACAATTGCTCGTATGTAGGGCCTATGTATTGATTCATTTATTTAATTATCTATTTATGTACTTATGTAGTTAATCTTCTGCGACCGTGGATTTCACCCACCAAAGGGAAGGGGCCGGGGGCTCCCGCGTGCCTGTTTCCATCTGAAACTACTAGCCAGGAACTGGGCAAAGTGACACGTATTCGTGTTTGGTGGCGCCCCTCCCGTCTCCCTATAGCCTACGCCATTGGCACCATGGCTTTTGCAATTATGATAGCAATAAAATTGGCAACAATAGTTTTATCAATTAATTCTTCTGCTACCTTTTGAGGCAGTCCTCAAAGAACTGCACGCGAAAGCTTTCGGCATCCCTGTTGGGGACATTTTTTTTTTTTCTTTTATTTACTAATTAATTAATTTATTTCTTTTTAAATGTGCCCCTCTTGAGCTCTCTCCCCACACACATAATGTCCTGCTTTCCCTGACAAAACCATGTTGATGGTGTTGAGGCGGCATCAATGGGCAGACATTGTGCTATTTACGCGTTTTATTTCTGCATACATCCCTATCAGACTATGCTCCCAACCGTTTGCTCAATGGTACCTAGTGAGAAACGGTTGCTCTCTGTGGCTTGCAGCCCCAAGCTACAACCCCCAAGCCTGCCTGCAGCAACTATCCGACAACCAAACCAATTTGTTGCTGGCAGTTTTTGCTTAGGTACTACCTTAGTAGAGTGTTAATGTTATGGAACCTGGCATTTAGTTGTGTCCATCTAACTCCCCCTCATTCTCAAACTTGCCATGCTCTACAATTTTTCACTTCTCATCGTCGTTGATAAAGTGTAACTTTTGGTGACGTTATGTCATGTATGTCTCATACATTGGTATGCGGCATTCACGTTGTGTTGAAACCTACGTCTTTCTCTATAGGGATTACCCGTAGTTGGTCTGCCCTACACCATGGAGGAAGGATTCCTTCCTCCATGCCTACACTTACAACTTACGACTACGAGCGCTCACATGGCCTAATAAAATCCCCACAATCCCCTTCATGTTAACGTCTGCTCTACGTTATTCTGATTGTGGTAAGATTTACCATCCTTGATTCTACCTGGAATTTCGACAAGACACTAACGGGGGAACCAGCAAGTACTAAGCAAAGCTGCATGCAAAACGCTCCCTAGCTCCACTAAAAGGAGGGTAGGTCTGAACCTGTTGCTTATTAATTGGAGTGTGCGCTAATTCTAGGACACTCGGAAACTCACGAACATGCCCAGTCAACTCGGCCCCACACCCATTGTTATCTGAGCTTCAGGTATTACACAGTGGTAAAGGAATCTGCTCACCCGGTATGCATGAGAAGACACTCCACGGACTTCAGGACATGTGGCCCGCCGCCGGTTGTCAAAGTAACGCCGTGGTCCGGTCACGCCCGATTCCGGTGGAACGGTGAGCAACCCGTTTGTCTTGGGTTCCCGTGCTCGGCCGGGGAGGGGAAAGCACACTGCACTGCTAAAGGCAGCTCGATGTCGTGATGTCCGAGTCCAGTACCTTGACCCACTCCGGAGTTTGGCCGGTCCGTCCGGCCAACAACTCTCTGTCGGCGTTGCTAGCCCATGCTCGCTCGTCTAGCCCCTACGCAATATCGTTCCAGACCAGATCATCATCATGTCAAGCTTTCGGAATCGTCGCCTCGGCCAAAACGTTTCGATACGTCTGGGACTCCACCTCCTCCCAGTTGGGCGGTCGTCTAAGCGATTAAACGGGGCGATCTGCGTTTTTATCGAACTACCTCAAGTCGGGCAAATTCTCGTTCCATGTTATTGCTGTTGTCATTCCGATTACAGTTAAAGAGTAGCAATTAAATAAGTCGATTTTCTGGAACACTAAAATCCTGAAACACATAGCGTGAACGAGAGCCCCGACAATCATTGACTGTATCAAGCGAAAACCAAACCGAAACTGAGCGGTCTTTGTGCCAGTGCTCTGGCATTGCGCGCGCTCTGGCAACTTGAGCAATGAACTCCTCATGACCGCCTGACAACCGATGCAGACCAGACATCCACTAGCTGACTCCCAGCGCGCACTCAAGTTACTTCGCCCATCTCGACACTCAATGTGTGACCGCGGTGTGACCTTTCACAAAGGGGCCTGCGCTCGATGAGAGCGCAAGCCGTGTTAATGACAAATCAATTTTTTTAATCGAAAATAGGGGTAGATGGGCGGGTCAAAAGAATTGGTGGAAAAAATCCAAATTTAAAAAGATTTAAACTTTTGCTTGGGCCCTTACCATATCTCTGAATCCTGTACATACATGGTCCTGTACAGTAAGCTCATTGTAAACTGTCTAAAAAAATGAGGCACTTTAAAGCATTTCTCCATGGAGCACATCAGAGAATACACTCATTTCAATAGGATATATCTGCATGATTTTTCCCATAAAAGAAATAGTTTAACGACTCTGCACAACTAAGTTGAGTGCATGGAGCAAATCTGCAATTAATCAATTAATAACTCGTGAAGGAGGCTTTTCTCAAAAATTTTACTGCACACCATAATGGATATGAAACCTTAGTAATATTCGTGAGGCTTGAAAAGATTGACTGCTATTGTAAACGTCAGCCAGGCACAGGCTATAGTTTTCCAATTTCAACGAAAGTAATGAACACATCACAACGATTTTTAGCACATACTTGGATCATTATGAGGAAAGTAAGCCCTGAAAGTTGCATGAAGATACGGTCTTCCAAACGGGAGAACTTAATTTTCAAAGATTTCACCCGCCAACGTGAACATGTCTGTGCACATGTAGTTCAATATGAAGTGTTACGTTACCTTTAGAAATCGCCCTTCGCAACCGTATGACTGCTGTATATACTATATTTGGTCAATGCAGATTCCAGTCACCATAGCCTCGTAAAGAAAGATCAAAATTAGTTCTTTATTAATGACATTTTTTCTTATTTTTTTCCCTCTTTTGGGGGGGGGGGGGGGTCATGATTATCCTCCATCTAGCTCAAATTCCCGATGGCATTCATATTGTGTCAATGACCGAGAAGGCTCCCAGGTGGTCGTTCCAGTCCCCAAATTACGCCCATGGCTTCTACCTACACGACACTGTCAGCATGTGGTTGATCAGAGTCGACAGTGGATCCAGGGTGACTTTCGACTTCGATGTGATGGAGATTGCATCAGGTGACGTACTGCAAATTGGGAACGGGATCAGTCCATTGTCTATTAGTGAACCTTACATCGCAGGTTTCTCTGGGATTTTGACCGGTGTCGGCGGTGCTCGAGTCACGTCTAACAGTCACGAGGCCTGGATGTGGTTTTTGAGTGGCCATGAATGGTCCTGCCGAGGGTTTAACGTGACAGTGAGGCAAGAAAGCCAAGAACGACAGTCAGCATGGATGAAAGAAAACGGTGGGTGCTGGCGGAATCAAGTCACCAGAATTCAAACACACGTCATTCAGTCTCAAGTCAGTGGCGTAGCTAGTATTGTATTGGTGGTGGGGGGGGGGGGGGCACAGGGGGAGGGGCATCAGAATGTCATGGGGGGCACATATCGCAAACGTCCTATTGCAGTTTTTCCCAGTTGGGCCCCATAATGCCTCGCTATCCATTGACATAAGAAATTGTAAACAGTAAGCCTTTGGCTAACTGGAAAAAAAAATACAACTTACTAAAACAATTGTTGGTTGGGGAAGAAAATGGGGCATTATCAGTATTTTGGTGTGGGCACCTGGGGGCACAGAAAATCCCCCCCCCCATGGCTACGCCATAATGAAAATGACTTGTGATGGACTTGTGATGCAATTGACTACATTAACGCGTGGTGCATGCTACGAAAGTAATGTTGCAATGCAAGTATATAAAAATCTTGCATTCATAATTGCCAAGACTTTTGACAAAATAAAAGTTTGATTTTTTTTAAAAGCAAATCTGAAAATTCGGAATTAACGTTCTCAAAGCAACACCTTTCTACTATACGGGTGATTTTAACAATGCAAATTTGCTTTCATTTATGTAATTTGCTCAGATGTTGATTTCCAATGTGTGAATAGAGTTGGGGGAGACGTTTGTTTGAGCAATGCCACACGATGCAATTTGCTTTGGCCGGGTAAGTATTGCTGTAATTTAACATCCTATATGCCCTATTTACTAGTTTAAATGAGTCACCGTTTCAGGTGATTACTTCAAAAGTAACCGCACCAAAACTGGAATTGACTAATGTATGCCCTTTAGCAAAAGAGTAACAACAAAATTTTGATGAACCTGCAACCGATGTTTTTCCCACTTACACTGTCCCATTTTTGTAGGGATTAAACGGTTCGTCCCTGACTATGAACTAAACTAGTTATTTAATGGGTTTAAAAAAAATAATATTTGAAATTTAGCCATAAAGATGTATGACATTGTTCTCATTAATATTCAACTTATGTGCAGGGTGTCCGGTTTCCGATTTCCACAGACCATTTGGAATTGATGAGTCTGTGTGCAGGAAATGTCCTGGCAATCAGCAATATGAAAATGGTAATGAGTTTGTTCAGTAAACATTCCAGACTCTCATAAATGTATTGGTTTGGTGTCCTTACAGTGATATATAAATAGGCGTAACATTACTTAGCCGATTTATGCGGTCTCCGACAAACAACTTAGAACCATGGGCTGAATTCACGAGTCTGCCATATTGAATTGAAAGTGAGGTAAAATCTTCATTTTTGGAACTTGCGAAGAGAAATGAAAGCAAGCACATTACTAAATAATTCAAGTCTGCTTAAATGAATAATTTAAAATTTGTAATTAAACATTCCCTAATGTTTTAAGCCAGATTTAGAAAACAATGAAAGTAAAATAAGGCTGCACAAATGGCCATCCCATTCAACAGTTAACAATTTATGAAATACTTTCAGAAAAAACTGGCTACCTCGTGCAGTGAATAAGGTCCATCTTGGCTATTTTGGATTAAGTTTTGCAAATCTTTGTGTTCAAACACTCCCAAACAGCAGCTCCATACGAAACTTATTTTGCCTTATTTTGAACAACGTGGAATTTTTGCGAATAATTATGTTTCATCGCCACCTTCGAAAATCGTGTTGAGTAAAAACTAAATGTTCCTTATTGAGGTTTTCAGATCGACGCGACGTGCAACAGAAACTGTCATGGGCGGAAGAGGGGGAGGGGGTATAGCTGCCGGGGGCGGTAGCCGGTATTTACTTTTCTGCAGGATTTTCCTGTTTTGTTTTTTGGTTTTTTTGCAGCCCAAAAAGGGGAATATATAGCCGCCGTAGATCCGCCAATGTGTTAAAGCTTGATGGATGTATATGATTTTACACTAATCGCGTTCTCTTTGTGTGTCCATCAGAAAACCAGTCCTGTCCTCCAAGCAACAAGGAGTATTGCAGTCTAGTGTTTTTTTCCCAGAAGCCATTTACATGTCGCTGTAACGTATGCCAAAGTGCAAACTTGATCCCGGAAAGTGTCGGGTTAGAGGAACTGGACGGTAGCCCACACACCCTGTACGTCACAATACAAAACAGAATCAATACATCTCGAATATAACTTTATAAAAACTCCTCAAAATAAAGTGTGTCTCAGAAAAAGCGGGCCCAGACAAATCAGCGGCCATATCTAAACAAATCGTCGGTGTTTTCACGATTTTGAGTTTTGCCTACCAATTTATTGCATTTGACAAAAGGAAGAATTTGGCTGAGTTTCAAAGCGAAATATTGTTTACTATTGTAATTATCGTGAACAAACATTTGACAAAATGCTAAAATCCGTGTTTTCTGTTTTTACGAAGTGACAAAACTTAACTCGTTAGCAGGGCCAGAGGAATAAAGCATTTCTCTACACACGCGTAAGGATGGGATTGGACGCGCACGCCGTGAACGAAGTCGATAAAGAACAGACGTGCGCGCGCTGCAGTGACGTCAGACCTAATAAACAACTTTGCATAAGCAAAGAACAAAGCATACGTTACTTGACAATGCAAGAATTTCTGAAATCCATAACTAAATACTAGTCGAAAAGGTGTTTTGAAAAAAATGATTAACTTCAGAGGAGATTATCTCGGAATGACCTGTTTGCATGACATTAAGGTTTTTTTTCACTTCGTGAAACCACCGACGAAATATTTATGTGAGACTTAAATTGTGTTTGTAGTTTTCATACTGTTGACGTTGTTTGTTGCCTGTGGAAAAATAAACCGAATTGATTGAACACTTTTAAAACAATGACTAGAAACGTAAGAGCTCCATAAAATCGAAATTTACGAACCTGTATCACACACGAACACATTTCGCATGCAAACAAGAAGAGACTAGGCCTAGGTTTTTATTTCATAACCCCTTTTTATTTGTAATGTTCATTAAATCTGCATCTGATAAAATTTAATATTACGATGTTTATCAGACGTAGAATGCTCCGATTCAAAACTAAAACATAAACAACAGCCAGCAATTATTCCGGTTGCCCTAAAAATTTTAGCCGTCGTTATCCTGTAAATGAATGTAATGCCAATTGTTGACGGGAAAATGTGTAAATTTCGATTTTGAAGAGCACTTACGTTTCTAGTCATAGCGTTAAAAATATTGAATCAAATCAGTTTATTTCTTCACAGACAAAAACAACATCAAGAGCAAAGAAAAACAGAAACAAACTTTAGTCTGAGGTGCATAGTTTTTTTTTTGTTTTTGTTTTTTTTTGTTTTTAGATATGACCACTTACGTGTCCGGACCCGCTTTTTCTGGGACACACTGTATACAACAAATGTTTTGTCAATCCAGTTGTAACTTCCTATTTTCAGTGCAAAAGCAATACTCCTCGCATAGTGAGCTGGGGTGAAGGGGGAGGATCAAACCTTGCATGGTTACATAAACAATTCGAAATAATCGAAACAAATCTCATCTATAAATTTCTACGTTTGTATATAGGATTCTTTACAGGGTAAACTTCAGCTCTCTTCAGAGTGGGACCTTCAAGGTGGAAAACCTTAAACAGTTGGAGATGTTGTAAGTATGCTTCTTTATTCGTTTGTTTTGTTTACGATAAATTTCGCATGACTAAATTCTGCCGAAATTCGTAAAAGATCCGAAAACAAACAAGTTATAGACGAAACCTGGATTTCTAAACGACAAATCGCTTACTTTAACGCACCCAATCAGTCTTCCAA